CTTCTTCTTCTTCTCCTGCTGCTGCTGCTGCTAGTTTAAATGTGTTCCCTGGGTGATCACTGACCTCCAGAAACCCAAGCCGCAGACCTTTAATGAGTCCCTTCTGTCGGAGTGTTAGCAAAATGAACTTTCTTGCCAAGGACACACAAACAGTGACTCTCGCAATGTCTCCATCGCCGGCAGAACGCACGTGGAGCCGATCAGTTGCAACTTTTAGTGGGTAGAAGGACGATCAAACCAAAATGAAAATGTTGGAAGGGAAATTTGGGTCAGTTTTGATTCAAGTAATTTAGATTTGTCTTTTTGTTTTGGCCTTTGTACATCTTTGTTTTTTTTTTTTGTTTGTTTTTTTAACTTTAAGATACGCTATTGTCTGCTAATCCTAAATAATGGAATTCCATTAATTCATTACTACACAGTAGTACTGATATTGAGTCGTATTAATGACTCAATATTAATATAATATTATAATTAATGGATGGATGGATGGATGGATGGATGGATGGATGGATGGATGGATGGATGGATGGATGGATGGATTGATGGATGGATGGATGGAAAAAAAAAGATTTATTTTATTATTGGATCGGATCATCTTTAACTAACATGGTTTTAGCTTGTTGTTAGCATGTTTTTGACTAATTTTTTGTCATCATTTGTTAACATCTGGCCATTAATTAGTTTCTTTTCTATTTAGGTATTTGACATCCCTGACACGGTGGCTCTTTGGCCCAGAGGCAATGTCTCTGTCATTGGTGTGGAACCCCAGGGTTCACCTCCCCGGCAAGATCGAATCCCGGTTAGGGCGTTTGGCGCCTTCCAGTGGACTCACCACCCACAGGAAGTGTGATTTGGGTGACGGTCATGGAGACTGCTCTTCCCCCCCACAACCCGGTAACGTATAAGCGGACTAGGAAGGATGGATGGATGGATATCTGACGTGACCTTCATCTACCAAAACATTTGTGAATGCCATCACTGTAGGAGTGAAGAGTGAGTAAAGTATTGTTTTATGTATACAAATACATTAACGTCTTAACTCACCCATCCCTCACTTCACCCGCGGTGGTGACGTTTTGAATGATCAAATATTCATATGCAGCGATTTGCTTGAAAGAATAATTTATTTGGTCTCAGAGATAAGCATCTCGGGAATCCTGAAGGGAGGGCTGTGTTGTTCACTGCTGCTCTTTGATCAAAAAAAAAAAAAGAAAAAAGAAAAAGCTAAGATCAGAGGGGACCGTGAGGAAAAGGATTCACACTGAAGGAGACTTTACTATTAACGTTAATGGAGAGTGAACGGCTCGGACGGAGCCCCCTGGACATCAGGTCATCATCCTGACACTGGGAGAGACGGCGCAGATGGATGAGGGACGCCCAAATACGTGTTTTAACAGGCTTATGTAGCCAGGAGATGAGGCGCAAGGGTTCACTTTTTACCCTGCCTTTACTCTTTTTATCCTTCCTTCTCAGTAGTTTGATCTCTTGGAAATCACAACAGAACAAAAGTATTGCAAAAGATGTCGATTTTGAGGCATTCAAATTTGAAAACACAAGGGGTTATCTTAGTGGTTAAGCCTGGTTCCAGGCCTTGTTAACCTGGTGCTGGATTTAACATGGTGCTTTATCCTGCCGTGTAGGTCTTAACAGTAGTGAGATACTCAATACTTATACTAGAGTATCAGTTACTCACAGGCTTTTGTGCTACCTACCTAGCACCTCCTAGTAACGTATTATTGAACTGATCCATTCCTGCCACTTGACCACTGACCAGAAATGAGCGGCGACTCCGTGTCGTAGAGCCCACTTTGACCTTTGACCTTTGATGGTAGCAATTCAACTATTCAATTTGTATCGCGTAGAAACGGAAAAAAAAATCACGCAAAGCATCGATATCCATTTCAAATAAGTATTGCCAATAAACGTAATTAAAAATGATGGTATCTCTTCCTTACTAACTAACATCAATTTTTTTAGAATTTAGCATTTCTCAATTTGTCAAACGGTTTGTTGTTTCTTTTTTAGTTTTGGTTCAAGGCTCAGTCGTTCAAAGATATACAGTTTCCTTTCTGAGCGCTGTTGGGCTTGTTGTTGTTGTTGTTGTTCTTTTTTTTAAAGGTTATCAAAGAAAGACATTTGTTAAATCAACACCATTTTAGAGAACACTCTTGTTACACACTTTTTTGTTGTTTTGGCTCAGGTTGTTTTGTGTCTATTTTCTTGGAATGGCACCAGAGTTGGACTGAAAGTGGAGCCGGATATCCACAGTTTCCAACATTCTTGCTCGTATGGCAGCGGGGTTCAGAAGGTACCGTTCACACATGTTCTTGTCAACCGTGAAAACATGTCATTTCTTCACGAAAAAAAAAAACGTCTTAACTGACTGTCAGAATCTGTTGAAGGATGAGCGTTAACACTGATGCAGTTCTCGTTTCTACAACATCAAATGTGTGTCAGTAAGTGTACGTCTGCGTGGGCGGTGATTTTTCTGCTTGTGCATTTGTTGTGGGGGGGGCAGTTTGAAAAGTTAGTTGCTGGGCTTGGAAAAAAAAAAAAAAAACAAAACTGTGAAATCTCAACTCACCAAGAAGAGCATGCGGAAGTTGGCCAGTTCTCCAAAGAATTCCTCCAGGCTGACAGTGTGAGGGTCAAAGGCAAAGTAGCTGCCGAGGCTCTCGTAGAGCTTCTGCATGTTCTTGTGCATGGTGGAGAGTTTCTCGTACTGCTCTCGAGCGTGCTTGCTGAAGCCGTGAGGGGAAAAAAGAAGTCAAGGAAGAGAAAACGTGACTCTGGTCTCAAACACAGCGAAAACATGTTTAAGGCGAACGTCCGCAGTTAAATAATAAATGAATTCCAAATAATGATGCCTGAAGTCTCATGTCTTCTGTAATTAAATAATGCACTGAGAGTACACCTGCCTTTGACTTCATGTTTTTAGGCTGTTCATTATTTTCATCAAACTGGAGCCGGTTGCTTTCCTTTTTGGCTAATTAGCGCTAATCATTCTGTTGCTAAATTAAAGTGTAATCTAATTTCCCCTATATTTGAATAAATGTTTTCCACATTTTATTTCATTACGGAAACAAACTTAAGCAAAAGATAACACATCATTAATGTAGTAGCTGCTGTGGCTGCAATTGTTGTTTGCTAAGCTAAAAGCAAAACCTATTCTCACATGTTTAACTAGGTTCTAGTTCCTTTTTTTTTTTTTTTTTTTTGTTTTTTTAAAACCGAAAGAGGAAAACACAGGAACAAACACATTTGAACCCTAACAGAACCAACGCTAATCATTCTGTTGCTAAATTAAAGTGTAATCGGATTGACCTTATATTTGAATTAATGTGTTCCACACTTAAGCAAAAGATAACACGTTTGCTAAGCTAAAGCTAAACCTATTCTCACATGTTTAACTAGGTTCTAGTTCCCTTTTTGTTGTTATTTTAAAACCGAAAGAGGAAAACACAGGCACAAACACATTTGAACGCTAACAGAACCAGCACTAATCATTCTGTTGCTAAATTAAAGTGTAATCTGACACTTAAGCAAAAGATACCATGTTTGCTAAGCTAAAGCGATACCTATTCTCGGTATATTCTCCCAACTTTGACTAGATTCTAGTTCCCTTTTTTTTATTGTTATTTTTAAACCAAAAGAGGAAAACACAGGCACAAACACATTTGAAAGCTAATACAAGCAGAGACATAATAACACTTCAGCATAAACGGTCAAATAAGTGGGGACAGATAACAAGCGGCGGTGTGATATTATAATGGTTTCAGAATGTGTGGAGTGTTTTACTCTACACACCTCAGTCAAGGTCGGACAAACAAAGGTGTGAATAAAGAAGGTCAGAGAAGATCTAATGTTCCACTACAATGAGCTCTCCATCATCTCCCTCCGCAGTCAACAGCACGGCGAGCTAATGGGCGCAGCCCTGCACTCGTGCTGTCAGCGGGATGACACCGATGCTGCCGGCGAACAGTGGGGAAAAAAAAGCTGATTGCTCTCATTCTTCTATTGTTTCTTACAACAACACCGAGGTCAGGTTGTTGTGAACCCCAACGCCTGCCGCCCTACTCTGTCATTTAGTGAACACCCGCGGCACTTTTCACCTGCTGAATGACTATTGACAGCGGGCGTCAGCTGACTATTATCACAGCGGCAGACAGCGACCTCATGGAGACCGAACACTGGTCCACTCAGACTCAGAGGAAAGGCGCACACAAATACAAACACATCGCACGGCGCAACCCACTGGAAAACAACCTAAATAACACGTGAGCTCGAGCTCTGTAGCTTAATGGATGATTCCGTGTACATAAGAGCTAGTTGTAATGAGTTCTTTTTTGAGTTATTAGCTAGCTGCATTTATTCATTCTATGAACGTATTTTGGAATATTTAAATACGAATATTTGAACTAACAGCTTATTACTATATTTATATATAAGATCAAGCTAGTTTTAGCTAGCTAGTTTCTAGCAATTCATACATAAACCATGTTGCCCGTCATTTTCCAACGTTTACCCATACTCAATTTTTTTTATTGAACTTGTGTATGAAGTGTTACTAAGTTTATGGTCATGTGACACAGACCAAAACAATTGAATGATTTGTGCTAACATCATGCTAACATCATGCTAACATCTGCGTTATATATATATATATATATATATATAATTAAATACATATTTCATTTGGGTGTTTGTTATATTTGTTATTTTTGTGGTTTGCTAGCCATCCACAAACATTTAGCTTTCGCTTGTTGTTAAATGTTCAGTTGTTGCTCCTATTTTCGACATTTGGTCAATTTCTATTTTCATGTACTTCAGCGGAATCTTAGCTAAACTTCGAGCTAAACTATAACTTGATGAAATGTATCCATTCCTCGGGAATATTATACATTTTTTTGCCCTCGTTTTTATTCACGTGTTTATGCTTTAGCTCAGTTACAGCATTTTCATCGATAAAACGTACCCCTTGTTGAACTTGTAGATATTTAGTAGTTATTTAAGGTCTATTAGAAATGCTGCGGGCACAACTGGCATGTGAAATTTTCTCAACATTTTTGGCTTTTGTTCAGCTCTAACTTCATAATGTGCCAACATAATATAAAAATAAATCTAATGGAGTAACAAGCTCAGGCAACAGGACGGTGTAAAAAAAAACAAAACAAAAAAAACAATGATGTGATGCTATTAGAAACTAACCTTATTATCGCAGCAGAAGAACAGACATCGAGTGTTTGCGAACATTCATTATTCCAAATGCATCGCAGTTTAATTGTAATAACAAGACACCATCACTGTTACGGTCAGCACTAATGGATCCTTCAGACACTGTTTATGAGCCATAAGAATTTCCTTCTGTGTATCGTAGACGCAGTTAGAGCCAATTAGAGAATTCAAGCACCGAGGATCTCCTAAACTACGCAGACTGATGGTTCAGCATGTGCTGCAGCAGGTCAGTCAGCATGTGCCCTGTGGTCCGGTCTGAGGTTCGGTGTGAGGATTACGGGTAAAGCATGTGACCTGCTGGAAGTGTTGCTAGCTCGAATCCAAGCGTCCAAGCAAGGTTGTGGTGTTTGGAACCAGTCCTAAAGCACCCTCTCAGAACTCCTCCCATCCCCACCAGCGCCCCGGTTCCCATGGCCCACTAGACTGCAACCCAATTAACCTGTTCCCGCACCCACCCTGCAAATTGGAATACTATTGAGAACCTGACAACGTGAATAATTTTACCTGTACAAACCCCATGTATGAGTTGCTGCCCCCTAGTGACTGGAGGCCTGTTATCATTCAAGCATCACAGCAGTGGTACACTTATGTCCATATTCGTGCCATATTCCATTGGAAGCCTCTCGCGCTCCCCGAAGATTGCCCGCCCCACTATTTGAGAATGACTGATGTACCGTGATTTAAAAAAGAAACAAAAAAAAACTAAAACTACTCATCTTTTTTTAAAAAAAAAAAAAAAAAACTAAAACTACTCAACTTTTTTTTTTTTCTCTCTCTTATTTTGCTTCTTCTGTGCTAAGTCGAAATTTATTTTAAAAAGTTTGACCCTTTTTGCCATTTCGCAATTTGGGAGTTCTGCGAGTTCCTCGGCGTACGTGTTCATCTGCACTCACCCTCTCCAAGCAATACCACGATCTTATTAACAGCGCTTTCTTTTTTAAAACAGTTTCGTGTTTTCACTCGGCTTTTCTTCTGGTCTACCCATGATTCAACAGGTCATTCCCATGGACCTAATCCTCTCATTCCTAATTTATAGTCTCTCTCTTTTCTTGTACGGGATGCAGTCATTACAACCTTCACTCTTTTCCTCATTGACCGACCCCGGCAGCAGCAGCAGAGGCGGCGGCAGCGGCAGCAGCTGGGTTTTCAGAGTGAGGCAGAATCATCCATCCTCGCCGCTCATTCTACGGGTATAAATATTTCAAGGACAGACGGAGTGAATAAATTGAGAGTAAAATTGACATCAAATCTGGCGTTTTAATTTCCAGAGGAAGAGGAGGAGGACGGGGATGGGGAGGAGGGAGCTGCGAGCGAAGATGATGGAGAGGAGGAATGTTCAGAGGAAGGTCCTGACCTCCGCATCAAAGTGTCAATATATTTTACTGAGGCAGTGATGGATGGGAAGATGAAATAAATATCACTCTCCCACCCCTCACCTTTATCTCGCTCTTTTCTGATAAATGCATATTCGACGCTTAGGGAATCATAAATTAGGGTTCCTTAAAAGAGGAAGTGATGGTAATTATTTCTAATTTTGGAAAGGGAAAGAAAAATCCCAACCAGTGGTCAGGGGCATGCGCTGCTCTGATTTGACCCTCGGTGTTGGTCTGTGGAAGCTTTGGGATTAAGAGGAGCAGCGGGGATGGGAGCAAAGCTCAGAGGCTCAGAGTGGGGCCCAACGTTGGAGGTTCCACAGTGAGTAGATATTCTGCAGGAAGAGCATTAAATAAACATTAATGTAAGTAGGTTACAGGAGATTTATTAATGAGTCTTTTCCAGCCTCACTGTTGCCTTTTATGCGGAGCTTTAATAACTCTCTCATGCACACCAGTAAACAAAGAACGTAATTTATGGCCAGGCTCATCAGTGACCATTCTTGAAAAACTCTTCAAACTTTGTTTTTGCTAGTGAATTGATTCTTTTTTTTTTGTTGTTGTTCTTCTTTCTTCTGCTGCTGCCAGTTGTTATTTCAGACTTTTTAGCGTAATAACAGTCAAATTTGATTAAGTTCCAAATGCTGATCTCACTTCGCTGCTGTTGAACGTCTGGTAGGCAGGCTCTCCGAATGACCTAAGAAAGTGATCTCAGCCATAACGTGATGAAAAAAAAAAAAAAAACAGATTCTGATTTAGATTTTTGGATTTCAGGCAGAATATTTCATAGTAAAAAACGTTGACGCTCACGAAAAATGACGTCAAATGCAATCAGTGCCAGGGACAACAGCAGTCTGAGCAGACACAACTCAAGTGATAGTTTTAGGTCCTCACATTTAGCTTCAAACAAAAATACACATATATGTCTTTTTAACTATTTTTCCTTTCAGCCCTGGAGCCACGTTCCCGCTCTGGGATGCTCAGGTTCAGCTCACAGTTCTAGTTTCTTCGGTAGGTGAGGAAATCAGAGACTGACAAACAGGATCGGGGGCAGGCCATAGGCTGCTTTAACTTTTTACCTTCAGACACCCCGCTTCTGCTCCGTGATCTGCTTTAAACCCCGGTGATGTTGAAACCAGAC